AGTAGTTACAAGCTGCTTTTTATTTAGTGGGGGCTTCAGGATGGAATTTTTCTTACCGCCTTTGCTTAGCTGCTTCATCAGCTGCACAGTCAGTTCAAAGGGGGTGTTGAATGGGTCATTGTGCGTTTACTTTTGGGATAATGGACTACTTGGAGGTCTACCCTGGCTTGTTCAGAAACATGGCCATTTTGTGGGTGTTCAATATTACTGGTATCAATGTGATAACAATTTTGGTCGGCTTTCCTGCAATGAGATAGAGATTGCTGTGTGGTGTGGGTAGAATTGTGGGGAACGGCAGTGTCTACATAAACAGACAGAACTCAGTGTAAGGGTTAAAAAATCTCAATAGCAGCTATGTGCCCTCTTACTAAGTAAGATTTTAAGTGAGACATCCAACATGTCTGGTGCATATAGTTTCGTTATTAAGTGTCCTGCTATTACAGCTCTTGGAGTTAACACATGCTTAGTATAGATTCTTGGGGAAACTGCAAAGGGCAGTTCTATGGCGTATTTGGGTAATTTTCTTTCTAGTTTGTCTGTGCAGGTATATTATATAATTTTTAAAAATAGAATGTTTCATTGTAGATACTTGTGAATTAGGTAAATTGATAAATATTTTGTCATGGTGACGTTTTGTGTTTTAACTATAAAATTTCCTTTGTGAGTTAATATAGTTTGTGTACATATAGCCCCAAATTTTCAGCATCTTTTACATTTTTGCCTTTATACAAATAGTTGAGTATATTTGTGCCTTAAAAGGATTTTGAAAGCAGGATCAAAGTCTCAAATGAATTAAAACTTTTTACAGGTGTTTTCAGTAGAGACTATGTCTGTGTTTTTCTCTCATTTTGCTATGCATTCCTTTATGACCCCAGATGGAAGGAGTAGATGACAGTTGCAGTTCATCCCTTTGATGTACACTCAATGTCTGAAGGATGTAATAATGTGCACAGTGATAGATTTAAGTTGTGTAGTGATGCTTTTGTGGTTTCAGATTCCAGTTTACATTCCACTTAGACTAGAGCATAACTCCTTTGAGATCTGTGGCTAATGGTTACTTTGATGATTGATAGAGGCGGACTTAACTTGCTGTAGTGTACAAGTCTTGATTATCTGGTGGGAAGTGGTGGGTGGGTCATCTACTAGCCTGGAGAGCTGTTTTCCTGGGCAGCTTTGGGGTGAAAACAATTGAAAGGAACTGGGAAGATAAATGTATCTGGAATACCAGAGGTTTGGGGAGAAAATGGGCTTAATTCACACATGAATGATCAAATACTCTGTGAGGAATTGGAGATTTTAAATATTGAATATCATCTGGAGAATTGGACACTTTAAAAGTTCTTTCACTATTTAAAGACTGTAGAATTGACAAGTAGGATATCTAATTTTGATCACTAAGTTGTTCGTGTACAGGACCTAGTACATGTAGTGAATACATATTAAAGCCCTTAAAGTTTATCACTATATTGCTTTGGCTTCCATTTGAAAGTGTTTTCTCAGTTTTTAGGTGACAATATTGAACCTAGCATATTTTACAATTTTGTGCAACTAGTACATTATAGGATTAGGATCTTAAATTCTATATAAATGTTTTTAATCGTTTAATATAACATTATAAATATACAGGTCAGAAACCATGTCTGAACTTGTCAGTCCCCAGTCTAATTGTAATTTATTTATAGACCTTTGATTATATTTTATGGTCCTGCTAAGGTATGAAGCCTCTTGTACTTGTTCATCTGTGATGTCTTCCTTTCTTTGAGAGGCTTACCTATTTATCATGTCTTTGAAACCCTTCCCTTGCTTATTCTAACTTGTTTTGGTGCTGGCAGTTGGCTGCATAGATACTTTATGATCTACTACTGAGGTATATCCTCAGTCCTAATTAGAGAATTATTATTGGTTTTGGTTGATAGCTTCCTTCCCTTTCTTCCATCTCTTGTCCTTTTTTGAGATAAGTTCTTCTTCCTATGTAGACTAGGCTGGACTCAAATTCAGTCCTCCTGCTTCGGCACTTTAAGTACCAGTATTCTATCATCTCTTGACATTATGGAAAGAGTGATATTTGAATACCTGCCTGCTTCCACTAGGAGGAAAAAAAATACAGAGTAGGAAAGGAATTACGTCAGTTATTGTCTTAGTTAGGACTTCTATTGCCATGAACAGACACCATGATCATGGCAACATTTAATTAGGAAAACATTTAATTAGGGCTGGCTTGCTGGTTCAGAGGTTTAGTCCTTTATTGTCAATGGCAAGAAGCATGGCAGCATACAAGCAGACTTGGTGCTAGAGAAAGAGCTGAGAGTTCTTTATCTGGATTTGAAGGCAGTGGGTCTTTGAGTGTGAGCCATTGGGCCTGACTTGAGCTTCTGAAACCTCAAATCCCACCCCGCAGTGATACAGTTCCTACAGCAAGGCTACACCTACTCCAACAAGGCCATATGTCCTAATCCTTTCATGTATGACACCTGAGCCTATGGGGCCATTTTCATTCAAACCATCACAGTCTTAAAGAACTTGCCTCTCAAGCATGAATGCCTGAAATCTATCTGGAAGCCATGTCAAAATGGCATGGCAGAGTGCTTGTAATCCCACTAGCTTGCTGGCTAGTCAGTCTAGTCTAACTGGTGTGTTTCAGGCCATTGAGAGACATGTCTCAAAGGAGGTGGATGATACTCCCGAGGAAGACATCTAAACTTTTATTCTTGCCTCCCTAAGCTTTACACACACATGAACACATGAGTACTCATGAATACACTTGTTAAAAAAATTCTGGATGAGTTAGTAGACCTTGATGTCCACTGTCAAAGATTTGTAACGTAGGAGACTGAAGGGTTGAACACGAAGCATATTTGATGCTGGTACAGTCTTGGGTTGTTCAGTAGGGACCCCAGTTAACTGTTAGTGTGTGTTTTCTCCTTCCACTTTCCCCCAACTTTACTTTGGCTCAAACACAGATTTGTACTTGAGTTCAGCTCCTCGTTTGGAATTTGGTTATCTGGGTATAGAAAATGAATAATATACGCTCTTCCTTTTTAGGGAGTAGTTACTAGTTACTACTAGTAGCAGTAGTTACTAGTTCTTTTAGAACTTAGTGATAATATTACTATTTTTGTCCTCTGGCTGTTGCTCACACAGCGCATAGGACTTTTAGAACATACTGCCTCACCACCAAAGAACATTGCGCCTTCACCAAAGGAGGCTGAAAGTTTCTGAGTGAAAAGACCTCTTTTTTCCCCTTTAATTATGGTAAGCTCCCTAAGTTAAAAATACAAAGTAGGAGATTTCCGTGTTATCAACTGGGAATCTTTAGCATGGTTAATCTTAGTTCATCTAAATCCCACCTTCTTCTCTGCCTGCCTCTAATTTGAAATGTGTTTTTAACATTTTATATGAGGACACAAAGATAGTTTGTGCTAGTTTATAGCTTACAGTGAGTTCAGTTGCTAGGGTGTGCTTGTAAAGTGGTGGCACTGGTGTCACAAGTCACGTGCCACTTAAAACAGTTTGGTTTCAGCTTATTGAACCACTAGTGATAGCAGCGTTAAAGATAATAAGTGAGAACTGCCCCAGTCTGAAAGTTGCTTTCTATAATTTGTCATGGTCTTTGAGTGTCTGTTTCATCCTTATGTGAGCAGTGGGGGAGTTACAAGTAGGTAATGAGTTCTTCTTGAAGGGAGGACCACGCACCATAGTGTTGTTTTCCATTTAAAGATTTTTAGTTGTGTGTTGGCCTGTGTGGAGTATGTGTTCTACAGAATCCAGAAAAGGATGCTGGATGCCATGGGGCTGAGCTGTTTGATGTGGGTACTGGGAACTGAGATTGCTTCCTCTGAAGCACAGTTTATGTTCTTAACCTCTGAGTCAGCTCTTAGCACCAGTTGCTAATCTTCCTATTTTACAGTTACTGAGTTTGTGTGTGTAGGTTCACATGTGCCTCAGAGAGTGTGTGGAGGTCAGAAGACAGCCTGGGAGAGTTGTTTTCGTCCTGTCTCTATGTGGGTCTTGAAGATGGCACTCGGATGTCAGGCTTGGTGGCAAGCATTCTGAGCTGCTGAGGCGTCTGCCTCCTCATGCTGCTTAGAGTGGCTTGGGAGTTCCTGTGTCACTAATGATGACATTGAATTCCTTCCTGATTCCTTCCCTCTATCTCTTAAGTGCTGGGATAATAGGGTGTATCACTATCCCACCCTTAGCTAATAGTTTTCTAAAATTTAGTGTTTATAGGGAAAACACTTACTGCTGAGCACTTATTAAATAAGTATATTGGTAGTTTGTTTCTATGAGACCATGATGCTAAAAGTCCATTTCTTTTGGAGTAATTATTTACCTGACAATAGGTTGCAGTACTCTCAACAGTCCTAAAGGATTTTTTCCTTTGTGTGTGTATATATGTTTGTATCATGCATGTTTGCAAGTGTATGGACACACAAATATTTGTGCATGTGGAGACCCGAGGTTGACATTGTGTATGTTGTCCATTCGTTGGGGCAGTATATCTGAACTGAATTCAGAGCTCAACTGATAAAGGCTCGTGTAGCCAGCCATCTTATTCTGTGCCCATCTCTGAGTGCTGGAGATTACAGGAAGGCAGCCTACCTGGCATTATATGGGTTCTGCATATCTGAACCTTGGTCTTCATCCTTGTACAGTAAGTACTTTAACTAGCTTGTGATTGTCAATATTTATAGTCAGAAATGCTTAGATTTGGGAGAAGATTGTTTTTGTGTTTAGCCTAGATTTTCATTTATGGACAAAATAATACTAGACAAATAATACTGGTTTGTGTTTTACTAATGAAATGAGAGTAGAAAACATGTTTAGCTTATGATTTACATTGATCAAAGTAATTCAGATCTGTCACCTTGAAATTAGATGTGTTGTGTTTTTCCCATCTTTTGTTAAAATAGCCTGTAATATGCTGTTGTGTTTTCCCCAATACAGTAGTGTGCAAATAAGTATTTGAGAGTAACCTAAGCATATGACTGTTCCCATAGGCATCAAGCATGATGGAACTATGTGTGATACTTGCCGCCAACAACCAATCATTGGCATTCGATGGAAATGTGCAGAGTGTACAAATTATGATTTGTGCACCGTTTGTTATCATGGAGATAAGCACCACTTACGGCATCGCTTTTATAGGATCACTACACCCGGAAGTGAACGGTAAGGGAAACAAGTTTTTTCTTTTTTTCTATTAACTTTAAAGTAGAATTAGGAAGTAGCTTTTGATAATTTAGATTTAGTTTTAGGGGAAAATGAATAGCAGGCTAGACTTGGATTGAACTTGTTGATTTGTGAGCGACTCTGTGAAGGTAAAATTTTATTATATGTGGGTTTCTCTCTTGTTTCTTTTTTTAAAGACAGGGTCTCATTGTAGAGCTCTGGTTGACCTTGAACTCAGTATGTAGTTCAGGCTGACCTCCAGTTATTACTGATTTTTTATAAGATAATCTTGGCTATTTTTTCTCTAGTGTGGAGACTTGCTTGACATTGCTGAACAGTTGGAAATATATGCCCCCTCCAAAAAAATTGAATAATTTTCTTATTATGCCCTTTGTTTTAATTCTATTCAATGAACACTATGGCCTGGTGATTGAGTCAGCAGGCGTTTATTGTGGATAAAGACTTGAGATATGGCTCAGATGGTAAAGTGCTTGCTTCACAACCTTGGGGAGCTATGTTTGAATATCCAGCACCCATGGAAAGCTAGGCACATGACACATTTTTATAGCCAGTGCTGGAGAGGCAGACAGAAGGATACTTGGAGCTCTGGCTAGTCTGTCTAGCTGAACATTGAACTCCAGATTCAGTGAGAGATCTTTTCAAAAAGTAAGGTGGAAAAGTGATTGAGTGACACCCAACATTGGCATCTAACCTTCTCATGTATGCATGCACACCTGTACACAAAGACACATGCATACATGAATGCATATACACACAGAGAGAGGCTATGCAGCAGCTATTGCATTTGTAATTTGTACGTAGTTTTCTTAAGGAGTTTATAATTTAAGAGGAATGATGATCTTGAATGAAAATTGTGATGTTTTAGACAGGATAATGTCTTAAGTCTTAGGATTGAAGAGGTGGGTGTGGAGCTTTAGGTAGTGGAGTCTTCTCATATAGATAGGATACTGCACTCATGTAAGTATGCAGCCAGTGAGAGAGCCACTGCTAGGGGTAATTGGGAAGGAGTTTTGAGTCACAGCATCTCATTTCAGATCATGGTCCTGCCATTCAAACTGAGTATTTTGGAAAAAAAAATTATTCTTGGTTTTTGCTTAAAATTAAAATTAAGGAATGATAAATAGATTTTTAAAAATGAGTATAATAATAAGATTACATTTAAAAAGCAAAAGCCTAAAATCTGAGTAAAAAGAATGTAGATGAGTAAAGGGCAGATGGCCTCAGATAAAGCAGCTGGCTCAAATAATTGAGTGAAATCTTTCCCAAGGTTTGTAAATGCTTATAAGTGTGCAATATGCTGGAGATAGTACAGTGTAGTTTGTTAGTGTTCTTGGGTGTGCAATACTCCGGAGACAGTACAATGTAGTTTCTAAGTGTTCTTGGGTGTGCAATACTCCGGAGACAGTACAGTGTAGTCAGACCTGGCCTCAGATTCAGTTTTCTGGCATCCATGTAGTACTCTGAGTGTTTGATTCATTGTTCACTTTTCACAGATTCTTAAAGATGTTCCCACCCCCATTCTGAACCCATCTTGTTCTTGACAACATTTGGCAGAAGCAGAGGTCTACTGTTCTTTGTAGAGAAATCATGCTCTTGAAGTGATCAAAATGCTGCCACTAGGCGTTTTCCCTGAGTCACAGCTAAGTGTGTGGTTTGCAGCTCATCTGAGATACTGTGTTCAGCAGGCCCTGACAGAGGACACTTAGAAACATAGCCTGAAGTGGTAGTGCTAGGTGCCTTTTCAATTCCATTGCTTTATACGTTTTTGCGAACCTGAGCAAAACTTTTTTTCATGCGTTGATTCCACAGTTGTAAAATGGGCAGTTTAATGTTGTCTTTATAAGGAGCGAACACTTTCCCTGTGTAAAGGCTTTTTTTTTTTTACATTTTTACATATAAGTTACTATTTCTCAGTTTTATAAACTGTGAAAACAAAACTTTTATTTTTTAGGGTTCTGTTAGAGTCTCGTAGAAAATCTAAGAAGATTACAGCCAGAGGAATCTTTGCAGGTGCCAGAGTGGTACGAGGAGTGGACTGGCAGTGGGAAGATCAAGATGGGGGCAATGGGCGTAGAGGAAAGGTATGGACTTTAAAAATTGGCCATGTATTCTAGAGTGTTGAGAGCTGAGATTTCTCTCTCTCTCTCTCCCTCTCTCTCTCTCCCCCCTCCCCCCTCTCTCTCTCCCTCTGTGTGTATGTGTGTATTTTACGTACTAATCCCAGTTCCCTCTCCCTCCCCTCTTCCCACTCCCCCACTTACCCCTCTCCCCAGCCCCCATCTGCTGCTCCTCAGAGAGGGTAAGGCCTCCTATGGGGAGTCAACAGATTCTGTCACATCACTACACTGATAGTGCGGGAGAATTATCTGTATTCTGTCAATCGTGTATTTTAATAAAACGCTGATTGGCCCGGCAGGAAGTATAGGTGGACCAACTAGACAAGAAGTAGAGGTGGGGTGATGAGAACAGGAATATTCTGGGACGCAGGAAACTCCCTCTGCCATTCCTGCGCAGATCACCGAAGAGGCAACATGTGAGCTGTCACATTGAGAAAGGTACTGAGCTGTGGGCTAACATAGATAATGATAATGGATTAATATAAGTTACAAGGACTAATAAGAAGCCTGACCTAATGGGCCAATCAGCTTTATAATTTATAGAGATCTCTGTGTGATTGATTTTCTCTGGGACTTGCTGGTTGTGGGGTACTGGGTGGGAACAGATACCCCAACAAGCCGGCCGTCATGTTACACACTGAGGCAGGGCAAGGTTTCTCTTCATCAAAATGGACTCCAAAAAACCAGATAATCCATTAGGGATAACTCCTGGTCCCCATGCCAGTGGCCCCACAAACTGCCCAAGCCATCCCCTCTGTCGCCTGCTTTCAGGGGGCCTAGATCAGTCTTATGCTGGTTTCCTGGTTGTCTGTCCAGAGTCAGTGAGCACCCACTAGTTCAGGTCTATTGTTTCTGTGGGTTTCCCCATCATGGACTTGACCCCTTTGCTCATGTTACCACTCCTCCCTCTCTTCAGCAGGACTCCGGGAGCTCTGTCCAGTGGTCAGTTGCACAACTAACCACTGTGCATCTGCTTCTCTGCATCTGCTTCCATCAGTTATTGGATAAAGGTCTTAGGAGATCATGTCTATTTCCCCTTCTTAGGCAGATCCATGTATGTCTCTCTTAGCGTTAACATCCATGTATATTACTTAGCGTGTCTGGGGTTGTGGATTATAGTCTGGTTATCCTTTGCTTTATGCCTAATATGCACTTATGAGTGAGTACATACCATATTTGTCTTTCTGGGTGTGGCTTACATCGCTCAGGATGTTTTTTTTTCCCACTTCCGTTCATTTGCCTGCATATTTCAAGATGGTTTTTGCCACTGAGTAGTGCTCCATTGTGTAAATTTACCACATTTTCCTTATGTATTCCTCAGTTGAGGGACATTTAGGTTGTTTCCAGGACTGCCTATTCTGAATAATGCTGCTGTGAACATAGTTGAGCACATGTCCTTGCATGCCTGTTTTGGGTATATTCCTAAGAGTGATATTGCTGAATCTTGAGGTAGATTGATTCCAGACCCTAACCCTAACTTGCCATACTGATTTCCAAAATGACTGTACAAGTTTGCACTCCCACCATCAATGGAGGAGTGTTTTCCTTACCTCACATCCTCTCCAGCATAAACTGTCACCATTGTTCTTGACCCTAGCCATTCTGTCAGGGGTAAGATAGAATCACAGAGTTGTTTTGATTTGTATTTTCCTGATGGCTAAGGATGTTGAGTAATTCCTTAGTGTCTTTTAGCCACTTGAGTTTCTTCTGTTGAGAATTCTCTGTTTAGATTAGTACCCCATTTTTAAATTGGATTATTTGGTATTTTGGTCTTTAGTTTCTTGAGTTCTTTGTATAATTTGGAGATCAGCCCTCTGTCAGATGTGGGATTGAAGATCTTTCCCATTCTGAGGCCTGCCATTTTGTCTTCTTGACTGTGTCTTTTGCCTTACAGAAGCTTCTCAGTTTCAGGGGGTTGTTTCTCTCAGTGTCTATGCTACTGGTGTTAAATTTAGGAAGTGGTCCCCTTGCCAATGCGTTCAAGTATACTTCCCACTTTCTCTTTTATGAGGTTCATTGTAATTGGTTTTATTTTCAGGTCTTTGATCCATTTGGACTTGAGTTTTGTGCATGGTGATAGATATGGATCTATTTGCATTCTTCTACATGTTGATATCTAGTTATGCCAGCACCATTTGCTGAATTTGCCTTTTTTTTTCTATTTCATCTTTTTAGTGTCTTTGTCAAAAATCAGGTGTTCATAGGTCTGTGGATTATTATCAGGGTCTTCGATTCAATTTTGTTGGCCCGCCATCTTTTTTTTTTGTGCCAATACCAAGCTGTTTTTATTAATGTAACTCTATAATGGTGTTTGAAGTCAGGGATGGTGATGCCTCCAGAAGTTCCTTTATTGTACAGGATTGTTTTGGCTATCCTGGGCTTTTTGCTTTTCCATATGAAGGTGAATAATGCTCTTTCAAGGTCTGTAAAGAATTCTGTTGGATTGTGATGGTTGTTGCATTGAATCTGTAGATTGCTTTTGGTAAAATTGCCATTTTTACTACGTTAATCTTACTCATCCAAAAGCATGGGAGATCTTTCCATTTTCTGATATCTTAATCAATTTCTTTCTTCATAGACTTAAAGTTCTTGTTAGGTCGTTCACTTGTTTGGTTAGAGTTATCCCAATACACTTTATGTTGTTTGTGGCTATTGTGAAGGGTGATGTTGCCCCGATTTCTTTTTCAGCCCATTTATCATCTGTATCTAAGAGGGATACTGATTTTTTTTTGAGTTAATCTTAATGTTATTGAAGGTGTTTATCAGCTGTAGGAATTCTGTGATAAAAACTTTTGGAGTCACTTATGTATACTGTCATATCATCAGCAAATAGCAAAAAGTTTGACTTCTTCTTTTCCAGTATGTATCCCCTGACCTCCTTTTGTTGTCTTATTCTCTATGGAGAACTTGGAGTATGTATTGAATGGCTATGGAGACTCATATAGTGCCTATCCCATTTGCAGCCCTCCTGCAAAGTAACCAATAGTCATATTTTGTGTTTACCATTTTCTTGTTTTTCTTTATTACTTTTTGTGAATGTAGATTGTCACAAGAGCAATTGATATTTATATTTTGAAAATGTAACAGTCACGGACCTAGGTATTGTAATGGCAGGACAGAATGCTCCTTTTAAATGAAGGCTCTCAGAAAAATAGGAACAAAATAGTCTGTAGTAAATTGTTTTTCTTCAAGATCTCTAAAATTTGTGAGAGTCCTTTGGAACTTTCAGTAGGCATGGCTGTTCATGAGTTCTGGGAACACAGAACTCAGCATATGCTATGAGGTGACAGACATAGGGCTAGATAGTGGGTGAGAACATTGTCAAAGGAGATCCATTGCTGTGTAGTTTTCGCTTCTAAGCTCACTGTAGAATGTCATGTTTTATAAATAGGATAAAGCAGAATATTCCCACCCCTGTGTGTGGGCGGAGGGGGAGAGAGAGGGCGACGGAAACAGACACCTTAGCTTGTGCTGCTTTCAGGGAATCAGGGAATGGGTGGCAGAGGGGCAAATAGAAATGTCATCATTACATAGTCCAAACAAACAGTGCACTTGATACCTCTCAGATGTGGGTCAGACATAGTGCGTGGCCAGTCTGTTCGTAGGTTAGTAGAATGCACTAGCAGTGGAGATCTTGGTGATCAGCACTGGCTAGTGTGGGTGAATCACTTGATGTGCTTGGTACCTGCTGTTTCCCCTGGATCCCTCTCTCCTCTTTGTTCTCTGTTCCAGTATGCTTTACGTACTCGTATCTTTTGGTAGAACACAGCTTTAGACAGTTCATAAGAAGACGAAAATTAATATTTTTATTTTGAAAATGATTTTCTGTTCTTTCTCACAGATGGGTAGGCAGAGGATTAGAAGTGACTAAGATAGTTGCTGTGAGGCACTCTGAAGTCACAGAATTGGGACTTACTGGGTTTTGTTATTCTAGTTTGCTTTCTGTTGCTGTGACAAGAATACTGACTAAAACTAACTTAGGGTGAGTCTGTTATTGCATCCTGCAGGCTGTGTTCTACCATCTAGCGAAGCAAGAACAGGAGCTCAAGGGAGGAACTGAAGTAGAAGCCATGAAGGGTGCTGCCATTGACTGGCTTCGTATGGCCTTCTCAGCTTGCTTTTCTATACCACCCAGGGGTGGCACCTCCCATAGTGGACTGGACCCTCCCACTTCTTAGTCATTTATCAAGAAAAACCCCACAGGCTTACCTACAGGCAGTTTGATAGAGGCAACCTCTCAATTGGGTTCCTGCTTCCCAGGTGACTCCAGCTGTATCAAGTTGGTAAATAATAAGAGAATACTACCCAGCCAACACTTTTTGGGAGAATGATAAAAAGGAATAAAAGTGGCATTCCTGAAGCTGTGAATTACCACTATACAGTTTTGGTTTATTATTTGCTATTTTATATATGTATGCTAAGTCATATGCCTCCTTTTAAAAGCAGTTTTTTAAAAAATATTTATTTATTTATTGTGTATACAATATTCTGTCTGTGTGTATGTCTGCAGGCCAGAAGAGGGCACCAGACCCCATTACAGATGGTTGTGAGCCACCATGTGGTTGCTGGGAATTGAACTCAGGACCTTTGGAAGAGCGGGCAATGCTCTTAACCACTGAGCCATCTCTCCAGCCTCTTAAAAGCAATTTTGATGGAGAAAAATCTGACACATGTCAAAGTACAGAGAATAGCATAACAGATTCCTAGGTATTCATCACTCAACTTAAAAAAATTATGAGCCTTTTAAAAATGTTTAAAAAAATTTATTTATTGAAGCATTCCAGATCTTTAACTTTGGCTGATCCCTCTTGTGTTTTTTTCTTTTCTTTTCTTTTCTTTTCTTTTCTTTTCCTTTCTTTTCCTTTCTTTTCCTTTCCTTTCCTTTCTTTTCCTTTCTTTTCTTTATTTTTTTTTTGTGGTAGTGAATTTTGAACCTAAGACCTCACTCATATACTGATAAGTAAACTATTAATAAAATAGATCTTTGGGGGATGAAGAGATGGCTCAATGGTTATGAGCATTGCATGCTCTTGTAGAAGATTTGGGTTCAGTTCCCAGCACCTACATGATGGCCTCACAGCTGCTTGTAATTCAAGTCCAAGGGATTCAAAGCTCTTTTCTGGTCTCTGTGCACTCCTGCACACATGTAGAGTTCATAATCTCCTGCAGGCACACACGTACACATAAATAAAAATAAACCAATCTGAATCAGAGTTTCTTAAGTTAGTGTTAAATTTACAACATAAAGTACTGGTTATTTTCAAAATCTGAAGGAAGATTACTGCTACAGATGCTATATTGCAAGTTTACACCACACATAACAAACTTGTGTGTGAGATTGTACAGTGGTTAATTGGGCAGAATCCTGAAGCATGGTAGAGCATTGATGGAGTAAATTTAGAAAGATGATTGCCTCTTGAGAGACAGGCAGAGGGGTGGATGAGCACATGGGGTCTTGAAAAGTCTTGGCATTTTTCTTTACAGTTTTTCAAGATGGGTTTCTCTGTGTAACTGTCCTGACTGTCCTGATCTTGTTTGTAGACTGGGCTGGCCTCAAACTCACTGAGATTTGCCTGCTTCTCTCTCTCTCTCTCTCTCTCTCTCTCTCTCTCTCTCTCTCTCTCTCGTGTTGGGATTAAAGGCGTGTGCCACCACTGCTATGACATTCATTTTTAAAGGTAGTAGAATAATTATAAGGGTGTTTGTTTCTTTTTTTATTTTTAAAAGTATGCATATTTTGTTTTTTACAATACTTATAAAATTTAAAAGAATATATGGCGTTATTAGTAGTTTAAAACATTTCTCAAATGATTAATTAAATCTTAAATGAAATCATTTTATTTGTACAAAAGCACTGCCAAATACCTACCCAACGAAACAAAGAAGAAAAAAAAGTTCAATATGTACTTTTACTTTTAAGGAATACTAGTCGACTGGGTGGTGGTGGTGCACGCCTTTAATCCCAGCACTTGGGAGACAGAGGCAGGTGGATCACCTACCTGATCGAGGTTAGCCTGATCTACAAGAGCTATTTCCAAGTCAACTAGAGTTATTATACAGAGAAACCCTGTCTTGAAAAACAAAACAAAACAAAACAAAGAAATGTAATATAGTCCAGGTTATTCTTTATGTTTGTGAAATGCTGGTGTATGTGAGTGTTAGAGTGGAGAAAAGTCATCTGGATTGTATGTGAACAACCCTCTGTTCTTAGGTGTAGACGCTGGGAGTGCCAGCTTGGTTACTGTATGCTACTTTGTGCACTTGACTCTCGGCCTTAAGGATTAGTAAGCAATCAATACATGAATGCATGGGCACATGTGTTTGTGGTAGAGAACAGGGAGAGGGAAGGAGAGAACAAATTGGAGTTTACCCAGGTAAGTTTCAAGTATCAGTTTGTTTGTGGGTGTGGCATTATGTCTGCATCCACCGTAGCACGCTGTTCTAGCCGGAGTAGCCTGTTTTCTTGGCAACTGAGCAGTGCAGTGCCACTGACATTCTAAACAACTCTGGGTTTGTCATCTTGTAGCTGACTAGAAACGGGTTTATCTTCAGTTGTTTAGATATGTGCTTAAAGATTTTAAATTATGTATTGAATAATTGGCTAAAAAGAGTAAACTTTGTACTTAAAGGATTTTAAAATTTGCATTATTTTAAATTTTCTGATAACCTATTTGCCTAATTTCTTTGCCTTCTAGTTAAAAATTTCTACAGTGATATTAGAATGTCCTTCATAACTCTCAGATAAGGTCAGGTGTGGGGATATAACCCCATAATCTAAACAGGAAGTTTGAGGTCTCCTGGGTTGTGTTCTGACAGCTTGTCTCAACACCCCTTCCCTCAAACAATAGCCACAACACCAGGCTGGGGGTACACTCAGTGGTAGAGTGCTTGCCTAGCATATAGAGAAGCCCAGGACTAAGGAGGAAAATCAGCATAAACATTTACAGAAGCTGGATTTGGTGCTACACACATCCAGCAGTTCTGTCTCTTGGGAGGCTGAGACAGGAGACTTTTGAGTTTGAGGTGAGGATGGGCTGCTCAAGGATAGTCTATCTTAGTAAAACTTATAATTCTGGAGAAATAGGACTTTATTGATAATTTAACAATGCTAAAAGTGACATAGTTGGCAAATAGATATTTTTATTGATTTTGTTATATAGGTTGATAGATGAAAAGATATTTAAGATTTCAATATAGTTAAAGCATCTAACCTTTTCTTTTGTTTGCTTTTTTGAGACAGGGTTTTTCTACGCAGCTCTGGCTATCCTGGAACTTGTTTGGTAGACCAGGCTAGCCTTGAACTCCCTATGCCTCCCAAGTGCTGGGATTAAAGGCGTGTGTTATTGCTGCCTGGTTTCTTCTTTCTATTTTTTAAAAAAGTTTTTCCCCCCTTTTGTTGTTAGGTAACAGAAATCCAAGACTGGAGTGCATCAAGCCCACACAGTGCAGCATACGTTCTCTGGGATAATGGTGCTAAGAACCTTTACAGAGTTGGCTTTGAGGGCATGGTGAGTAGTAAGGTAGCACAGTCTGTGACAGTGGGCGGGCCTGGTGGGAACTGATGCCCATCCTATGTGTGCATTCTGCCTTGTGTCTGAGCCATGGGTCTGCAGCAAGAAGGACATCTGTGATATGAGGGTTTCAGCTCCTTAGACCTGACTCAGACTCTGTGTGTATAAATTGCCTAATAGCAGATATGCTTTTGCCATGGTAAAATGTCGAGTGGATTTAGCTTTTGAAATCTAAACAGAAAAATTAGAGTCATCTATAGGACTGTTTTTTGGAGTAGATTTGGATGCTAGTATTAACGAGATGGGTTTTGTATTCTATGCTGTGGTAGCTGATAAAAAGTATAAATTATTTTTAAGGAAGTTGTTTTTTTTTAAGTTTTTATTTAAATGCATTGATGTTTTACCATGGGTGTGGGGTCTCCTGGAAATGGAGTTACAGACATATGTGACACCTGTTGGGTGCTAGGAATTAGTTCTGGGTTCTCTGGAAGAAAAAGTCAGTGCTCTTAATCCAGCCCCTCTTGTAGTTTTATTAGAATACAGAATTGATGATTAAATGTGACTATCTTGTATGCACAATCCCAGCTCTCCAGGAGTGGAGGAAAGAGGATCTTAAGTTCAAGGCCAGTTTGGGCACATAATGAGACTCTCAAAAAATAAAAAAGAAGATAAAGCAAGAAAGCAATGGACAGATTTGGAAACATCTAGTGGAGAATAACATAGGTTTAATCAATAGATTACCTTATATTTCTGTATTTCATGGACCATTGTTCAAATTCTAACTTTATTTTGTGACAGGGTCTCACTGTGTAGCTCTGACTGACTTGAAACATGCTATATAGACCAGACTGGCCTTGAACTCACAGAGAGATCTGCCTCACTCAGCCTCCTAAGTGCTGGGATTAAAGATGTGGGTACCATATCCAGCCTCACTGTTTATTTTCAAATGCAAATTTCTTTAATAACCTTTGAATTATGAATATATTCCAATTCAAGAAATTATCATTGTAGTTTTGTTGTATAATGTTTTACTCTTGGCTTTTTGAGGGGCCTACCACATAGCTCCCAAATAAATCACACACGAAGGGTTATTATTATTATTTATGAATGTCCAGCCTTAGGTTGGCTTGTTTCTAGTCGACTTTTCTTAAATTATCCCATCTATCTTTTGCCTCTGGACTTTTATCTTTCTCTTCTGTAAATCTTACTTTCACTCCTACTTCATGGCTGGCAGGGTAGCTGGCCCCTAACGTCCTCCTCTCCTTATTCTTTTGTTTTTTTTATTTTACTCTCCGCCTGCCAGCCCTGCCTATCCTTGCTTCTGCCTCACTGTTGGCCATCTAGCTCTTTATTGGAACCTTCAGGTGTTTAGGCAGGCAAAGAACCACAGTTTTACAGAATTAGACAAATGCAGCATAAACAACAATCACACACCTTAAAATAATATTCCCCAACGTATTTTAATTGTGATACTGGGGTTTTGTGCATGCTAGGCAAGTGCCTCAGCAGTGAACTGTTTCCCCAGCACAGAGAATTCTTTGTTTCATTCCTCAACTGTCTCTGTCTTCCATTTGGAGAGCAGAAAAATAGCCAAATGTCTCCTTAATATATTTTATTTATATATTAAAGCTAATATGAACTTAAACAAATGCTTTATTTTTTATTTTTTTCTTTATTTTTGAGATAAGGTTTCTATGTCAGCTTGGTTGTCCTGGAACTTGCTTTGTAGACCAGGCTGGCCCAGTTTGTTGCTTGCCATGTGCTTTTGAAAATATTTAATGTTGAAGTGTTAACTTTGAACTCTAAAATTAGTTAGTGGAGAGTCAATCAGGCTCGTCTTGTCAGATCAGTGTCTAAGATGTGACTCTCCTGGGGCTGCCTCTGCCGTGTGCTGAGTGAAAAGTACCTCTTCTAGATCTTGTGCCATATTTCAAGTTTTCATGGGTTATTTTCTTGGTTTCTTTCCTTAGTCTGATCTGAAGTGTGTCCAGGATGCCAAAGGAGGTTCTTTCTACAGAGATCATTGCCCTGTGTTAGGTGAGTTAAGTAGATTAAAGAAAATTGCTAAATCATGAGTCAGGTCTATAAAGATCAGGATAATGTCTAAATTTGACATAAAATTAATTATCATTAAAGTTATGTAGAGAAATTCTTGGTTTCATTTTATTTAGTTTTAAAACCTTTATTCCTTTTCCATGGTTTATTTATGCTCAGAAGGAGTTGTTAGGTCTTGGGAATTGGTATGCTATTTGTGTCATAAATATGCATTTAATACACTTGTAACTGAACTTACACCATTGAAAATTTTGTATTAGATTACATCAGTGTTGTTTCTTCCACACTACTGAGGAAAGATTTTGGCAGTTTAGTGCTTATAAATATCTCACAGTTATTATAAAACTGTTGCAAGGAGGCGGGGAGACTTGTTTTTCCCGGCCGCCTGGCTAGCTTATACCCGAAATAACCACACAGAAACTGTATTAATTAAAACACTGCTTGGCTCTAACTTCTTATTGGCTAACTCTTACATATTAGTTTAACCCATTTTCATTAATCTGTGTATTGCCATGTGGCAGTGACTTACTGGAGATTCTAACTGGTGTCCATCTCTGACTGAGGATCCATGGCTTCTTCCTTACTCTGCTTTCTTCCTCCCAGCATTCAGTTTTATCTTCTCAGCCTACTTAAGTTCTGCCCTATCAACTAGGCCAAGACAGTTTCTTTATTCATTAATCAATGAAAGCAACACACAAACAGAAGGAACTCCTACACCATAAAACTAATTTCCTAGTAAAAGAACAGCTCTATGATCAAGGTAATACAGTAAATATAATTCCAAGTGACATAAATCCATTTGTAAAGAGTGTGATAAACCAGACCTGCTTTCATTTGCAAATGCATTATTGCGATGAAGCTCTCAGTCCCTAGATGCCACCCTCTCTGAATCATCTGACTTGCCTTTTGTCCATAAGTGCCATCTTCTTCCAGCATGCTTTTCTCTCTTTGTAAAGGTGGATGTAGGAAATACACGTTAAGATCCATAGTGTAGTGTTTTATGGTTTAAAATCTTTATACTGGGACGTTTGTTTTAGTTGACCTTAGACAAAAATGTGTAGTTTGTTTATTTAAAAATGATACTAAGCACATTTGAGGAAGAAATCTGAGATATCCCCTTTACATTCTCTGTTTTGTTACTATGGTTACTGTGGATAGCTCTGGTGCAGTGCTAGTCAGCAAGACATCCAAGCAAATCCCTGACTGTTCTTATTCTCCAGGGCTCTCTACTCTGACTTAGGGTTGGTAGTCTTTTGTAGATTTTGCTTCTACTTAATTTTTATGAGTGATTATATTGTTACAATTTTTCCGCCTTTTTTTGTGATCCTGAGAATTGAGCCCAGTGCCTTTTGCCTGCCTGAAAAGAGGCACGCCACTTAGCTGCAGATGTACCGTGGCCCACATTGTTGCAGTGTTTAAGTTAATGCTTTTTTACTTTTTCTGTACTTGAAAACTCTGCTCTAGACTCTTTACACTGAATTTGTAAAACACATTGAGATTGAATGGGATTTAAAAAGTGTCTAGATCCTTTTTGTATTTAATAACATACTTGAAAGAAGGGGTGGATTACTGGGCACATAGTTGCAGTTAGCTCTGGTGTCTTATAGTGTAGTACGGTTCCAAAATAGCTAGAAGAAAGAATTTGAAATGTTTTTATCATAAAGGATAAATATTTGAGGAAAGGAATATGCATACTACCCTGATTTGCTCATTATATATTATATATATGTCATAGTGTATCCATGAATATATATAATTATCACTTGTCAATTAAAATAAACTTTCATTTAAAGGTTCTAAGGGAATACCATGAATAGTTGTTGGTCAATAAGTGAGTGAGGTAAAGTAAATGTAAAGAACAGACTCTTACACACAAACACCAGAACTGATTACACAAAATAAAGAAGAACTAGAAAATTAACATAGACTTCTAATCAGTCATGATAACAAGGTAGTGATCATACACACAAGTGCAGCTGCTTACTACAGTGGCTCTTTTTTCTTTCATTTTTTTCCTTTCATTAATTGTGTTTGGGATTATAGGTGAGCAGAATGGCAACAGGAATCCTGGTGGATTGCAGATTGGTGACCTGGTAAATATAGACCTTGACCTAGAAATCGTACAGTCTTTGCAGCATGGTCACGGAGGATGGACTGATGGGATGTTTGAGACTTTAACTACAACTGGAACTGTCTGTGGCATTGATGAAGATCACGACATTGTAGTGCAGTATCCAAGTGGCAATAGGTTGGTACTATTTCCTGAATTTTGATGACAAAGTTAACATAAGAGACAGAAGTCTTAAAGAAAGCAAGTAACATGCTGTAATTCAAATTTTAAAATGTTGGTCCTTAGGCAGTATATACAAATTCAGAATATGCTAGTAAGGCATTTAGGCATATCTGTGTATGTTTACCTGCGTGCACTTTTACATAGAAGTCAGAGGAAGCTTGCAGAAGTCGGTTCTCTCCTTACATCTTAGGAGTTCTGGGGTTTGAACTCAGGTTGTCAGGCTTAGTGGTAAAAATGCCTTTACTTGCTGATCCGTCTCATTGGTCTTGTATATGATTCATACTATTAAGAGCCTTTTTCCCTCTGGGGTTGCTTTAAAAACAAATGTTCTTGTATGCTTGTAATGTTTTATTTATTATTTATGTGTTTGTGTGCTTGCATGAGTTTATTTGCACCATATGTATGCAGGAGTTGTTGGAGGCCAGAAGAGAATCCACTGAAATGGGCTTAAAGGTGGTTGTGAGCCACCATGTGGGTCCTGGGAATCAAACCCAGGTCTTCTGCAAGAGCAGTAAGTGTGCTTAGCCCAGTGGTTCTCAACCTTCCTAACGCTGATACCCTTAAATACAGTTCATCATATTGTGGTGACTCCACCATAAAATTGTTTTGTTGTTATTTCATAACTGTAATTTTGTTACTGTTGTCAATTGTAGTTTAAATGTCTGATAGTGACCCCCAAAGGGATCCCTACCCCGCAGGTTGAGAAACACTGACTTAACCACCTAATCATTTAACTGGCCTCTTGCGCAGTTCTAGGAACAGATTTTTGTTTTTTTGTTTTTTTTAAATGTAATCTGATCTTTCAGATCCTCTTATTCCAGATAAGTACTTGAATTCTGAAAAGTGTACAAGATGCAAATAATTGAGGAATTTATTTGACCAAGGATCTTTTTTTTGCATTGGAGTTCAGTGTGTGTTTTGTATGTGTCAGGAAGATGATAGCAGCATGGAGAAATGCTTATGTAAAATAAAGAAACCATAATTGTGGGGTAGAGACATAGCTCAGTTGATAGAATGTTTGACTGGCATGAATGAAGCCTTGTCTTCATTCTGCAGCACTCCATAGATCAGATATGTGGCACAGGCCTGTAATCTAAGATTTCGGGATTAAGATGCAGGAAGACAAAAGAGTAAGGTTGTTCTTGTATGTTTGAGGCTAGCCTCGACTATATGTGATTCTGTCAAAGAAAGAAAAACAGAGCAAATTATGTGTGTGGTCCTAGGAAATTGAACCAGGGTTTGGGCATACCATACAGTCAGTATCACTGAACTACAGCCCTAGATCAGATTTATTTTGACACAGATATTAAAATTATGGAAAGTATTTATTACATATGGCCAATTAAAACTAGAGAACCTTTATCTGTGAGATTAGCAATGTTCTAGGTCAGTGGTTTTCAACCTTTCTAATGCTGTGACTCTTTAGTGATCCAAACATACAAGTATTTTATTGCTACTTCATAACTGTAATTTTGCTGCTGTTATGAATTGGAATGTAAATGTCTTTTATCCAGGATATATGATGTGTGGTGCCTGTGAAAGGGTGGTCATGGCACATTTGATAGGCAGTGTAGCTAGGACAGAATGGTAAGTAAATATATGTGATCAGGAGAGAAAGCTTTTTCTTAAGCAGCTCTGAAGAAACCAATTCTATGTGCACAATGATGTACACACAGAGATGTTTGCTATGTATCGTATGTAATGGTAAGCATTGAAAATTATATAACAAAGAAATGAAAATCATTTAGAATGTAGTTGCGAGGATTGCTTTATTATTTTGAAGTGGTGCATGATTTTTCTCCCTTCAATGTTTAAAGATGTATTGAATGAATTTATGTGTTCTGAGCCTGGTTCTGCTTTTGTAGGTGGACCTTCAATCCTGCTGTTCTCACTAAGGCAAACATTGTCCGAAGTGGGGATGCTGTACAGGGTGCAGAAGGAGGCATCTCACAGTTTCAAGTGGGTGATCTTGTGCAAGTTTGTTATGATCTGGAAAGAATTAAACTTCTCCAAAGAGGACATGGTGAATGGGCTGAAGCAATGCTTCCAGTAAGTGTGTGCGCGCACGAGCACACACGTGTATATATACATATTAGTAGAATTGTATTTTAGGTGTACGTAGGCAGCAAGGTGTACTTATGCCTAATTTATTCCCGTTACATTAGCCTAGGAAGGTCCAGAAGAGGCTAGTATTCTGATAGCACTGTTAATAATGGATGTAATGTAGTATTAGGAGGCAGAGGTTTTCCTGATATTCTGTTCCCAAATGTAAGAACAGCATGCGTTTCCATCTCAATAGTTCAGGTGGGCATGTAGGGATAGTACATGCACACGTCCCTCAGAGTGGTTTTGCTATCAACATTGCAGCTTAACTTTTAGTTTTTCACTCAGTACACATTTCATCAACTGTTCAGCAATAATAAACAAGCTTATTTTGCCTTCATTTATTTGTTCTTTTCTCATTTATTTGTTCTTTTCTTTCATCAGATTTTCTTTTGTCCCCTCCTGTTTTACTTTGTTTCTTTCTGTTCCTGGTTCTGTGGCCCATCTTCTTCCACCTTGTTTTATCCTCCTCATCAATCCTCTGCACAGTTCACTTTTTGGCTCTGTTATTTCCACTTTCCATCCTGTGTGCTTCCTCTCCCCTCCTCTTAGAAACCCACCACCCTACTGTGTGTTGTTCAAACCCCTCCTCCCATTTCTTAGGACAGTGCTTCCATTTCTTCCTCTTTACCCTCAGTTCCTGCCCTAAGTAGCCTCATCCTATCTTCTGTGATCTTCCCATCTTGTCTTTACTGTTATCCTGTCTATCCTTCTAGCTGTACTCCTCAGGAGATATTTTAGATTTAAAATAAACCTGTTAGATTTAAGGATATAATTGTAAACAAAACAAAACAAGAAAAATAAAATCTCTAGTACATTGCCTTAAAATATGAATGAGTAGCTAGTACCGGTAACTATTTGGCCCACATCAGCTGTATCGTAGCTGAGGGAATTCGTAGGATATCTGGTAGACCTGAGAGCAGGACCTGTTTGCTGTATTAGAGTCTCAGTGGCTAGTGTGGAGATTAGTACTGTAACTGAATAACTCAGAATTCTCTTTACATGAGATCAGTGTTGCTCCTGGCAGCACTGATCTATTCCTGAGAGAATATTGGGCACTGAAGACCCTCCACTTGGAGCTTGTTTATTTCTTGGCAAAACTGGCTTTTGGGCAAAGAACTCCCTTGCCTCGACTACTGACGGTATGCATGCTTTCCAAACTGGACAAGCAGCATACAAGCAAAAAATGACTGCCAAACCTTACCAAGACAGGGTAGGACAGTCTTTTAAATTTCTGCCTCTGAAAATGATCTGTAACATTGTAAATTAGACTTGGGGTGACTGTCCAAGTAACCAGCTGTTTGTCATTGCCTGCACTTCCTGCTTACTCAGGGACTTAATGGCTTGAAGACTAGATAGTCATAGTACTTTCTTTTCATACCTTAGCTAAGACATTTTTAATGTAAGACTTATATTCCTCAGTATAGGACAACCATTGAAATAGTCTGTTTCTAATTAGCTTACACTGGACATTTAGCATGTGTTTCTTGCTTGATGTTGTTCATGTTGGTTGTGGTTCTATTTTTGTGTATGCCTTTTCTTTTCTCTGGATAATACTTGATGTTTGTTCTTACTTATATAGTTTTGTTTGTAAAAATCTACAACCCTCTTATTTAGACAAAAGAGGTAGGTGTTGTGGGAATTCTTTCAGCCTCTGGTACTAACCCATTAGGGCATGGTCCGAGGTACTATAAGCACGGACAGGAAGCGTGATTCTCCCTTTTTCTTGGATGGTGGTCCGAGTTTGGTTCGCAGCTTCCAGCACCCATAGAGGACTGTGACTCTCTACTTTTATTGTGAGGGTTTTTTCCCCAAATGAATAAATACTTGTTATCCTTTATTCTGGGCTCTTGTGGACTTCCTTAAATAGTGGAGTTCTCCTACTTCAGGTTGGCTGAATTATGATAGGCTCATGTTCAAACCAGCTGAAGCTATCCAGTGTTTCCTTCCAACGTAATCTGTTAAGGAAAAAAGTGTTGAGAATAGAAATTAAATTGAGTGGAATAGAGACAATGTGGGCAAAGAAATGAACAGGTCCAGATAAAAGGTGTCAGGGATAATGGTTTTATTTCCATACACAGTTATTACTGAGGACAGGATTAAAGAACCAAATACTACACACAAAAATAGATGATGCAGAGAAAACTGACAAAAGCTAAAGTTGGGCTGGAGAGATGGCTCAGAGGTTGGTGTTAAGAGCTCTGGCTGCGCTTCCAGAGGTCTTCAGTTCACGCCTGCTTCAGCAGCCGTTCAGTCCCAAAGAAACACACAGAGGTCCACATTTAATTATAAACTGGTTGGCCTATTAGCTCAGGCTTTCTTATTAACTAACTCTTACATCTTACATTAACCCATAATTCTTGTCTGTGTTAGTCAGGTGGCATTCTCAGTTTGCTTCCTCTGCGTCAGGGTGACAGTGCAGACTGAGCCTTTTCTCTTCCCAGAATTCTCCTGTTCTGATTGTCTTGCCTGTACTTTCTGCCTGGCTCCTGGTCAATCAGCATTTTATTAAACCAATACAAGTGACAAATCTTTACAGGGTACAAGACCATTGTCCCACAGCATATAATAAGATCTGATGTCCTCTTCTGGCATGCAGGCATACATGCAGGCAGAACACTGTATACATAATAAATCTTAAAGTCAAAAATATTAAAGTCAAGTAATTCAAAATAAGCTAAAATAAGGACTTCAAGATACAGAAGAATGAAATAAAAGAAACAAGGTCTTAGAACTTAAGAAAGAAAAAGAAGAAAAGGGTCATTTAAAAACATAATGATTGACTTAGGAGATGGCTTAATTGCAAAGAACCTACCAAGTAGACATAATTCCAGTGGCTGGAATTTTCCTTATTTTCCTGTGTAAAAAGTCAAGTATGTGTGACCTAGCAGGGAGAGGCAAATCCAGGGAGCTTGCTGGCCTGCCAGTCTAACAAGGGGGTAAGTGCCAGGCTTAGCAAGTAAGTGCTTGAGTTGAGAGACAGGGAAAAAGATAGAAAAAGAGGAAGTGGGAGGGAAGGAGACCCCGACTCTATCTCAGAAGGTGAGATGGCCAGGGAGAGGTGGCTCAGCAAGTAAGGCTGATGATAAGTTTGATCTTCAGGACCCACGTGGTGAGGAGAGAACTGCTCCTTCAAGTTGTCCTCAGACCTCCACACTTGTAATGTGTATTTTTGATTGTCCTGAAACTCACTCTGTAGATCAGGCCGGCCTCAAACTTACAGAGACCCGCCTGCCTTTGCCTCCCAAGTGCTGGCATTAAAGGTGCTGCACCACCTTGCCCGACCACACTTGTGTTCTTACACATACAATAAAAGAATAAAAATGTAATGAAATTAAGTGGAGAGTTATAGTGGAAGACATCAGTGGTGCATGCACATACGCACACACACATATCCTTTCATGAACTTAAGTAACACACATAGACACACAAGCCACATACACATGCACAAATAAGTTTAGTATAAAGTGATGATTAAGTTGGAAGGAATACACGTAATTACCAAAATAGTATCTTGAGCAATAGAAGGGTCAAAAGCATAAAAAATTTAAATATGAAAAAGAAAAATACATTCCATAGAAAATGGCACTTATAAAATATCTGATATATGTGTATGTAAACCCAGCAAAAGTAAAGGGTTGAATCAAATAGAATTCTTTTTTGGTATTGCTAATATTTGAACTAAGATCTTGTGAATGCCAGACAGCTGTCTACCACTAAGCTAACACTTGAAATTCCAACTAAATGCTTTTGAAATTGAAAACAGGTTGGAGGCTAAATGACCTACTCTGATGGAATAAGTTACTTTTTATGCATAGGAAAAATTCTTTGGATCTCAGTTTTTCTTAGATATTAGGTCAAATTATTTCTTACAGCTGGAAGAAGATCATTTTGTTGTATGAAAAAATATTTCATTGTTTCATGCTAGAAAATAGTGATAATTAATAAAGCTAAAAATATATAACTATTTGTATATATCAACATGTAATATAAATAAGGAAAACTTATTAAATAAAATAAGTATTTAACCACACTGAGATATAAAGGTTGTAAATTGCTCTGAGTCTGTAAGAATTTAAAGGCCCTATTCCCGTAAGCCTATTTTGAGTAATCTACTAGAGAATTGAGACAGTCCAGGTGAGTAGAGCGGCACCAGCTGATTATGTAATATGTATTTGTTTGGTTAATTAAACTGAACAGAGTATGTACAATGATTATACATTTTAACAGCGTAACTGAAACTGTCAGAAATGGAAATGAGGAAACATAAAAAGTTTAATAAATCGTTTGCTTTTTCGCTGTGTTAACTAACATGGAAATACTATTATTTAAGATTATAGAAAGCCTGTTGTGCAACAGCTGCAAATAACAGCCTCTGTGGTAGTGCATTCTGCCTGTTTCTTACTGTATGAGTTGCCCTAAGGATTCTTAGACAGTTTCTGGTGGGTATGCATATTTTTTATCTCAGTACTGTTCCCCATCTAGATTCTAGACAGGAATCCAGGGAACCTTTGGAAAATTCTAAGGCATAAGATTCAAATTGACTAGGTCATCATGTTTATCTGTACTAAGAATAAGGAATATGATTAGTGACCTATGTACAGCCAAGTTTAAGTTCTCTGGCCACTATAGAACATACATACCTCAAAGAAATGGGCTTCATTAAGTTTAATGAATTAGAAGACGTGGTAGCTAAGAAGTGGTTCATTTCTGGTGTCTATGAAATCAAATATATCCTCAGTTCTTGTATTTTAGAAAACTGGTAAGGCCCTGCATTCTCTTCGAACTTCAACTGTGCTGAAGTTCTATACCCCACTAGTCATGTTCACTAATAAATATCAGACCCAGTCTGCTTGTAAAAAGTGTGAATATTCACAGTACTTGGGAGGCAGAGGCAGGTGGATCTCTGTGAGTTCAAGGCCAGCCTGGTCTACAGAGCGAGTTCAAGGATAGCCAAGGCTACAAACAGAGAAACCCTCTCTTAAAAAACAAAAAAGTATGTGTGAAGGTTAGAAAAGGGAGTGGGGAGGAGGGTGTAATAAGAGTATATGAATGATTAACTTATTATTCCTCTTACTACAGTATGGACATATTCATGTATATGAGTTTTTTTTTTTTAAAGAAGGAGTGAAAATGTCTTCACATTTGTATTTATATAAAGATATTTGTTAAATGCAGCTGTTAGGGCAATACAAACTTTATATTTTCTTTAAAAATAATTGTGCCTGGAGATTTAAACTTAGTTGGTAGAGTGCTCACTACTGGCTCAGGTTAGTCTGTAACCCCAGTTCCAGGAAATCTGATGCTCTCTTTTGGCCTCTGTGGGCACCTGCAGTCTTGTGCACATACATACACCGAGACATGCATGTATACATTTAAAATAAGAACTAAGGTTTTTTTTATTTTGAGAAATACATTTTCAAAATAAAAACAGAAGAAAATAAAAACCCATTACTGACTTCTGTCATGGAGAAACCTGTAAGAGTGAGAGTGTGGTAGCAGAAACCAGTGTCTTGTAGGTTATGCTTCAAATAAACCTTGTACTGCGGAGGAAAGTTTTGTGAGGATGTGCCTTGTACAGAGAGGATAGATGCCGTCAGGGACTTGTAGAGTTGCCCTCACAGAACAGTTCTCACCCGTCATATACGTAGGACAGACAAGCCTGTTTGTATAGTTACAGCAATTAGCAGCATTTAGGTTGATAAAAGCCTCATAGGTCAAATAATCCCGTTACCTCATATTTACAAAAAAGCATTATGAGGGTTTTGCTTATTTGTATATATGCGCCATGTATGTGCCTGATGCCCACAGAGGTCTGGAACTGGAGTTACGGATAGTTGTGAGGTACCCTGTGGATGCTGGGAATTAAGCCTGGTCCTCTACAAGAGCAAATGCTCTTAACTGCTGAGCTACTTCTCCAGCCCTTAAGATTTATTTTTTACATGTCTGTCTGTCTGGATCTGTGTGTGTGTGTGTGTGTGTGTGTGTGTGTGTGTGTGTGTGTGTGT